CTGTGAATAATAACAACTTTAGCTCTTTGCATTTAACCTTTGGTCTGGAAAAATCTATTTGCCCTTGAACTGCAGTAATTTGTATTTCTACTGCCTAAGTGTTCTTAGGCACAAAGTGCAAATAATAAAACTATAAACAAGCTGCCTGGGCTTACAAGAAAGAATTGTAAAATACCCCCCACTTCCAACAAATGACAGCTGCAAACAGTTATGAACTGATCTGAAAACTCTTACATTTGTTTTCAAAAAAAAAAAAAGCAGGGATTTTTTTTTTTTTTTTTAATGTTCTTGAATGGGGCCAAACCAAAAAAGCAACAGAACAGAGGCTGCCACATACCTCCGTAGTTGGCAAAGGGCATGGTTAATGACTGAGACTGTGGATACATTGAAAATGCTCAAGTACACGTGTGGCACTTTATGTTTTGAGAACAAGGAAGGAAAGGAAAATGTGCTAACTTCGCTTATCATTCTCTAAGAAAATTCCTCCCCTTACATTCTGTAGCATATGTGGAAAAAGCCTGAGTTCCTGAAAAAATGTTTACTTTATGCTTTTCTTTTACTTGTCCCTCACTTTCTCTCTCTCTTTGGACTCTAGTTTTGTTTTTTAAGCCCCATAGATGGTTTTTCTAGTTTCTTATGAATGGGACCTAATTCTTAGCATTTACTGGTTTTCCTGTACTTTTCAGTACTCAAGGAACACTTACAAACTATTTCTTCTGCTCAAATCACTGAGAAATATATTTAAAGTGTCTAGCTAAATATGCAAATTATGTTAATTTTTTGGTAGCCAGCCACATTAACCAATTAGAAAGTTGAACTAATTGGAGAGTTAAAAAGGGAATTGAATGGAATGGTGGTTTGATTGAATAATTGAAGGTCCATTCTGGGTACTTGCTCTGGGAATTCTCCCAACATTATTTGGTTTTTCTTAGACACATACAACACTATGCCTTTCATGATTTCCTTTAGCTTGCTGTGTAATTAAACTGATAGGCATTGCAGTGCATTCTGTGGCGTCAGTTTAGAAATTAGTGCAGTTCATGAAGCGATTATAAGTCTAGGTGTCATTTATTTATGTGCATTTACCAATTTCAAGCTGTATAAAAATAAGTTAGGACTCTGCTAAAACTTAGATAAAAATATCTAAGTTATTGGCATTCTTAGACTATTATTTACTTCTATATGATAAATGTTCTTCCCACAGGCAGTTATTTTGAGAATATAGTACCACATATCTGAGGGCATTAAGCATAATCACAAAAATGAGGTGAAGGCCCAAATCTCTCAATGTATGTTTGATGCTTTTTTTAAAACGTAAACTTCTTGTAATTGGCTGCTTAAGCTTGGCCATTATTGAGAGTCAGCAAATAGGAAATAATTAAAACATGGAGTTGTTACTGGTAACCAAGGAGGAAATCGAATGAATTCTAAGTTGTTTCCATTTTTCATTGGCTTAACTTTATGACACACACTTCCTTCTTCATTCATAGAACATGTGCTTATTTTTAAAAATTAAAAGTGAATCAGAATTACTTCTCATTTTCATATTTAGGAAAAAATTATGACAAATTGTGCTCAATTTAGAATTCAGGTGAAATCATTTGGTATCATTGAACATGACAGATTGACACAAAACCAGGAATAGGTGGAAACAACTTTGTTAAAGATGTTTTGGAGCCTGTGATAATAGTACAACATCTTTGTACAGCTATTTAAAAATGGTAATTTTTTTTCAAATGTGCATTCTGGTTTGTACATTTTGTGGAAAAGTTTATTTTCTTGATGTTATTTGGAGGAATTGTCCTTGGCCATTTTTCTTTAAAATTGCCTTTGAAATCAATGCATTAAATTTATTTCTAAAATTAGTTAGCTTAATCAATTCGATTAAGCTAAATCAATGATTTAGTTGTTTCAAAATATATTCCTTTGTTTAGATTCTATTACTAACTCCCAGAAAAGGGTACTTTTATGAAAGGGAAAAGATAAATATGCTTTTAAAATAAAAATTGATTTATTTACCCTCATTTTGTTTCCAAATATAATTTTCGAATACTGTGCATTGATTGCTCCCCTGTTAACTGCTGATTGTTGATAGATGTAATACTGACTCTGTTTCATTTTACTTAAATTTTAGTGCTTACATTTTCTTTTTTAAAACACTTAAAACTGGTCAAATTTCAGGGGCATAGCCAAATTAAGAATTTCTTATTTTGTCTTCCATTGATGAATTTACTTTGTGCAAATGTAGCCAGAAAAATATTTGCTTATGATTAAAATCTTGTGTTTCTATCAAGAGACATTCTTGACATTGTGCCAGTACATTTTAATAAATTAATCACTTTATAAGTGCTGTCAGGCATAATGCATTACAAATGGACTTTGATTAAGGTGATGTAGAGTTGCCATAATCAGAAGCATGACAAGAAGCTTATCAAGTCCACGAGATCTTGTGGCTGCTGGAATGCAGACCAGCCATCGAGTGCATTTTCTTCACCAACCCAGTCATCCTGCCATACTTTAATAGGTTAAAAATGAAGGGAAAACATTGAGAAAAATGGACTAACATATAATACACACATTACTAGCTGCATCATCTGAATGAATTATGTACTCACTTTGAGACTGCTTTTCTCATCTGAATTTAAAAAGGAGCAAAAAGCCAGTACTAGGGAAGGTTTTGTGAGAATCTAATTGATATAATTAATGTAGGGCCTGTGGTAGGATCTGGTCTGCAGTCATAATTGATATGAAATATTTGAGGGAGATAAAAGGAAAACAAGAATTGATTTTTATTGCTTCTGTTTGCTGCAAAGAAATTTAGCGTGTGCACACACACAGACATGCAAATAGCTAAAACACATGAATAGCTGTGTTCAGAGCCCTGCACCATTTAAATCATCTCCCAAAAGCACTTGAGAAAACCAAGTATATTGCTAATTGAATGCATATCAAAGAATGTTACAGTAAGCATGTTAGTTTTCCTTCAGTTTGCTACATGTTAGAGTAAAGGATCTGTTCTTGGCAAAGGAAGTATGTAGCAAAACATTCATTTTACAAAACATAGAGTCCTTTCCTAGAGTAACAAAATCTAAATTTCTTGATCAGAAAACAAACTCAGTTCTAACATTTTAATAATTATTTTGTTTAGTGTTTTCTAGGAATATTTGGAAGTCAAATGTGTAAGTGACTTCTGTCAGGCTGACTTAAAAGTAGTCACCTCCTGTAAAAGCACTGTTTCGGATGGTTTCTTCCTGGACACCTGGACAGTTCCCAGGTGGTGTCCCCTGTAACTCTTCAACCCTGCAACCTAATTCTACAAGCTTTGCCCTCAGCCCATCCACATTACAGCCCATCACTTACCCTCACCTGGGAAGAGTTAACACCATTAGTTATAAACATTAAGGTATTTGGCAACATGGGCATTAGAATGGCCGATAGATGTTGAAATTGGAAATCCAAATCATAAGAGAATGAAAAACAGTGTGTCACATTTTATGTTCCATATTCCTTCTAAAATGTTAAGACCTTTTCAACTTCCAGGACAGGATTTTATTTGTGTGTGTGTTTTACAGTATAACTCTGTAGTAAGAGTTTATTGACTGCAAGTTTAATACTATCAGTCGAAGCAAACTTTTCTCTTTTCATGAATGATACTTAAGAAAGTTAAAAATAAGCAAAAAGGGAGAGAAGGAGAATGCTGAAGTTAACTAGTTGCTTTTCCAGATGCTGTAAGGTGGTGAACACCCCAGGTGATATTCAAGAGGAACCCTGGGGGTACAAAAGAAAATATTAGACCTTCTCTTTTATTTAATATTTTATCTTTCTACTTTTATCTGTTTAATGATGTACATAATATAGATGTATATTTAATCAGTTATATATTTGAAGGGAGTGGCTACTGAAAAGTAAGTTTTATGAGTGCATAATTTTAAAAGTTCAAAGATCACTCCAGTAGACAGCGAGGGGGAGGGACTCAATCTACACTTTGAGATCATTTATTAGGAAAAATAAAACATGCTAAAGGAAGGAAAACAAAATATAGCATATATTTTACATTTTAAAAATTAAATTTCTAGGCCAGATATGGTGGCTCATGTTTGTAATTCTAGCACTTTGGGAGGCTGAGGCAAGAGGATTGCTTGAGCCCAGGAGTTCAAGACCAGCTTGGGCAACATAGTGAGACTCCGTCTCTACAAAAAAATGAAAAATTAGCCTGGCATGGTGGCACATGCCTGTGGTCCCAGATACCCCACAGGCTGAGGTGGGAGGATCACTTGAGCCTGGGAGTTTGTGGCTGCAGTGAACCATGATAATACCACTGCACTCTAGCCTGGCCAACAGAATGAAACCATGTCTCTTAAAAAAAAAATTAACTTTCTATATATTAAGCTTAATATTTTTTGTGTGTGCTTGAGGAACTTTTAAACTGTTAAACTAATTAAACTTTTTAATGATATTATTTGTGTCCTTTCATGTTATACACACTAGTTAATACTTAGTAACTACAGAAGGACACAGAGCCCGTGAGTGTGATGCTGTTTACTGATGTGCTCTTCATTGTTAGGGAATCATTCCTGAAGTGGCTCACTCTTAACAGGAGTGTTTTGTTGGTTGTTTCATATTTTCATCATCATGTTAATTAACTGCAATCAGCTTTGTTGAGATAAATTCACCTGTAATTATTTTAAGGGCTTATGTGTAATATACGAATATTTGAATTGGGCCTCTAGAATAAGGCAGTAAAAAGCTTCCTCTTGAAAGTGTAATGTGAATTACGTTGTCTTAGCTGATCTTGAAAGAAGCCTCACTTGCTAGTCTCCTGACAAGAAGTAATTGACCTTGGCTAGGTCCAAGGTAGAGCGTGTTTTACTAACCTTACTCCATCATGAGATTGGCTTTAATGTGCTAAACCAAATTTTTGACAGGTATAACATTTGTAGTAAAATTGACATGTTATATTAACAGACCTTATATTAACTCAAAATTTATTTTCCTTTTAGTTCACAGGAAGATGAAAGACCTATGTCACCTTTCTGTTTGAGGTATTTATTTGACTTTTGTTGGTCTACTACAGGGAATAAATGAGAGTTAAGGTTTCTTTGGGCTTATTTGCTCATTTTAATCTCTCTCAATAGAACATTCTTTACTGTGTCCAGATGAAGCCTGCTGGAGCTCTTCACCATATTGCTAATGCTGTATTTTCCCCTTTGGTTTAGGAAATCTTTTTTTTAAAAAAGTCTAATATAGTTGAAACAACTAAAGTAAGATATTTTATTTTAAATTTGGAAGTGCCATTTTAATTTAAAAGCTGATGATTAGGCTATAAGCCAAGTTAAAAATCTTTGTTTTATACCTATGCATATGCATAGGTTACTGGGGGCAAATGGCTACAAACCGACTCAGATAAAGCCTTGGATTGTGTTACATCAGTTTCTGTGTCATAGCAGAGAAGGAAAGTAAATATTCAGCCAGTTTTTGGAGTTCAAGATGATTTTCTAAGTTTATAAAGCCAGAGTAACAACTGTTAAAGCAGGTAAATTAACAGAATTCAAGATCACTTCTCTCTGGTCATTGAATGCTGTACTGATAATTTTTTTGGTGAGTCATCTGAGATATAGCCTAGAATCAAGTCTACCTTTCAGCATTTCTTTTCTTACTACCTGCCCACTTCAAAGGCTTAGAAAATATATTTGAGAAGTATATAGGCATGTAAAATAATGCCGATGTTTTTAAAAATCTTTCCTCAAGTTTGAAGTCTACTGCTTTTTTTTCTTTTTCTTTTTTTGAGGCAGAGTCTCACTCTGTCACCCAGGCTGGAGTGCAGTGGCACGATCTCGGCTTACTACAACCTCTGCCTCCCAGGTTCAAGCAATTCTCTGCCTCAGCCTCCTGAGTTGCTGGGATTACAGGCTCCCACCAAGATGCCTGGCTAATTTTTGTATGTTTAGTAGACACGGGGTTTCACCATCTTAGTCAGGCTGGTCTTGAACTCCTGACCTTGTGATCCACCTGCCTCAGCCTCCCAAAGTACTGGGATTACAGGTGTGAGCCATCATGACTGACCTGAAGTCTACTGCTTTTTAAAGGAAATGTCAGGAGATACAATACAGATTTGTTTATTTATTTATGTTTGAATCTGACTTGTTGAAATAGTCTCAGAATGGACTTAGGCTATACCACTAGTACTTCAGAAATGTGTCATAGGACTTCAGTAGCCAAGTAACTGCTTTTTAGTAGTGTTCTACCCTTTAATGACTTGCAGCATATTGTATAATCACTTTGTGGCAAGAGAGGGAACATTTGAGGTTTCAGTATGAGAGAACATGGTGGTCCATTTTTTTCATCCTGGTTTCCTGCCAACCAAATCAGCATATTCTGGTTCATAGGCTATCTCAACTCTGCAATTCCTGTGAACACATGAGGTTGTTGCTGAGCACGTAGTGAGTCTGGTATTTATTATATAAATATACACAGTCATATCAACAAATGATTATTATATATTAATGGAAATTTAGTTTTACATAGTATGGAATACTTTAGCACTGGATCATGCCAATTAATGAGAATCATTTCTCTGAATGCCTTTTTTTTTTTTTTTTTTTTTTTTTTTAGATAGAGTCTTGCTCTGTCACCCAGGCTAGAATGCAGTGGTCTGATCTCAGCTCACTGTAACCTCTGTCTCCCGGCTTCAAGAAATTCTTCTGCCTCAGCCTCCAGAGTAGCTGGGATTATAAGCGTGTATCGCTATGCCTGGCTAATTTTTATATTTTTAGTAAAGCCAAGGTTTTACTATGTTGGTCAGGCTGGTCTCAAACTCCTGACCTCAGGTGATCCTCCCACCTCAACCTCCCAAAGTGCTGGGATTACAGGCTTGACTCACCGTGCCTGGCCTCTCTGAATGTCTTCTTATTACTTTGGGTAACAATCTTTGTTTTAGATAGTCTTGAGTTTTATTTTATTTTGACTATTATTTTTAAAAGTAGATGGGAAAAATGGGTTTGTAAATCTTAAGTCTTCAAAGATAATTGTTTTTTTTTATAGTGTAAACATTTCTGTAATTGTATAATATTTAACTAATAAGGTAGTCTTTAAAAAGGAATCCTATACTTGGAAAATTAAAGTACAAGAAAATGTAGTAAAAGAAAATCAGTAATACATTTACTGACTTTCCTAATAGAAGCTACTTGATTTTTTTGATGTTGATTATAAAAACTAAAATATTATAAAATTAGGGTAAAAAAGAATGAATATGCATATTGGCCCACATTTATGTAAAGGAAAAGTTATCAGCAGGCATTCTTTTCCTATGATGGAGATTTAAACTAAGTAGAACTATTTCACAAATGCAAAAATAGTAATTATTTAGCCTGAAATTAGAATTTCAAAAGTAGATTATTTTTCTGAATAACATTACTAGAAATTAAGTTCATGTAAGGTCATTTAACTTGTTTTATTATCAACTTGACAACAAGCAGGAAGAATCTACTGGCAAAAAATTAACCTTCTTTTCTTTCAATTGCTTACATGGGCGGTTTGGCGTATAGTTTTTTTATTCTAGGATATAGAATTTAAGTAAAAGAAAACAGTTATTAATTATGATTAAGTTCTTGGTTTTTTGGACTGCAAACATGACATGCTCACTGATAATTTATAGTGTAGTGCACATTTTTGCACTACTTCTACTAGCTATGAATGTGTAAATATTTTAAATATATTTAAATACATTTCTGTAGCTTTCTTGTCTTCCATTCCTTTTCCTCTCACTTCATTACTTAGGGTTCCTTTGCTGCAGTGCTCACAGAGGGAGCTATTGCGAGACTCATAATTTCATATGTTTTGTTAACATTATGAAAAACAACATTGGCTCTTTTAAATCCAAAATAATATTTACTGTGTTTCTGAAAAGTAAAAATGATTGGTAGCTGCACAATGCGACCTGCCATGACAAGGAACATTGAATTTTGAATGCTGTATATTGTAGTTTGATAGCATTGATGGATAAAGTGTTTCTCAAAGAAAGGAAAGGCCCAATCAAGACATAAGACACGTTTGCTGAGAGGGGTATTCACTGGAAGTAGATCCAGCCACAAGCAGCCAGGCAGGGGACAGGGCTGGGAAAGCTTGTCAGCGGTGGGATATTCAGTTTGGTAGTTAATTCTGAAAGGTCCAGCATAAAGAGGGTGGAACAGTAAAACTCAGTGTCTACAAGTCTGTGAGTGGGCAATCTTCAGAGAGTGCAGATCAGAGCAGACAGAAGATGAGAGCAGAGAAGGCCTCCAGTCTCAAAGGAAGGAGGGTAGATGACCCATAGCGGCCCTTGGGTACAGAAGATCACATAAGGATCCTGCTACTGGAGTGGAGAAGAGGTGGATTGTGTGTAACAGGTCAGAGTCTGTGTCTGGGATAGAGGATACAGATGGAGAGCACCTGAAGAGGCCACAGTGCACGCTAGTGGAGGTCCCAGGACCTTGCTGTGGCTAGGGGAGAAGAAAGAGATGCAGGAACAGGGAACCAGAGTGGCCATTTCAGTTATATGTTGCTCTCATTATTACCTTATGGAATTTCAGTTTCTGTAATGTAGTATTCTTATCGAACATTCATGGCTGAATCACATGTTAGTCTGCCATATGCTTCAGTTGCCTTCAGTTTTTCCTGTAATAAGGTAGGGCTATTATAAATAGACACACTTATATTTTTATTCTAAATAAAATATCTCCTGTGATAACAACTCTGTCATCTCTGATTTCAGTACTTCTCCAACCTAACCTAAGTCACCACAGAGCCATTTGTCCTTTTTTGCAAAGGAAGGAAATAGTAGCTATCAATCTCCACCTGCCACCATTCTATGTAGCAAGTTAATTGCAGTTCTAGGAGCTCAAACAGTAGGTGTTATTGTTCCCCAACCCTCATCAGGGATTACCAGCCCAGTTGAAATGATTAGAGAAATGAAAGGGAAGAATAGGTTATGCCAAACCCTTAGTAAGACTACAGCAGAGTAAACATGACCTGCAAACTTAAGGTGGAGAACGTTCTTGGCCAGGATGTTCTGTTCTCTTTTTATATTCTATGCTGGAATCCCGAACAACAGGGCTCCTCCCTCAGTTGCTCAACTGAGCGTCAAAAAAACTTGGTGGTAGTGTTCTTCTGTGCCGTGTTCAGCCTTTTGTTGTCTGCATTCTTTGATCTGGCCTCCAATCAGATCTGTCTAGGATCTGTTGCTGCTCTGCTTCTGTTTCCCTGAGTTTTCGGTGTCTGCAAGACTGAGTTTGGATTTTGGTGTTTGGTTTCCACTAGGACTTGGGTTCTGCATCTCTACTTGCTGCGTCTCCTCATCTCTACCAGCTCCCACTTCTTCTATACCACTTTCACGCTCCTATGACCGGGATCGGATCCCATCCTTATCCCATTCCATCGGACTTTTATCCTTAAATTCCTTCTTTACAAATTCCTGGATTACACATATAGCTTGCATACCTAGAAGCTGTGTTTAATGTGCTTTATCAAAATCTTAGGATATGTGCTTCAGGGGCTATATGCCAGTTTTGTTCATTGGGCTCTAGATAGCTCACCTGGCTTCTGAAACTTAGTCCTTGCTTACCTAACACCTGTCTTCTAGCAGGTGCACTGACCTTCCTCTGTATTCCTTTTCTCATTTAGTGCTCCATGAAAATCCTGGAACTGACCATCTTTTAAAATCTCAGCCCAAGCTTTAATACTCACAGTGCAAAACTGAAGCTAAATTATTAGTTTCGCAGGTTTGGATTAAGGTCAACTTTGGTATTTCATCTGTTTGCTAATTTTCCTGAAGGAACATCACATAGATTTATTTCTAAGTTAGCTGTTTTGCAGACAGACTTACTCTTTCTAATTTGGTTAATTTTTGATTGCTAGAGCCTAGGAACTATTGTTTATCAGTCTCATAACTGTAAATTTATGTTAAAAAATGACTTTTGCTAAATTCAAATTAAAATATGACTTGATATTAGATGGGATCTGAAAATTATACCATACCATTTCTATCCTGATATGTAGAAAACTTCTT